GCTCCGTTCTCGGTTTTCTGAGCGGACAAATGTCGGATGAGATTACTGTACGGTATGTGCGCGTGTTCTATCCGGACCTCGTATCACATTACAGTACACCAACACTTACTCCGCCCACTACCTAATTCCTTTGATACCGACGGTATTGTAACGTAAGCGAGGATGCTGTGGAAGAGATGAGATTCTGCTGCGTTCTTCGCTAGATTGGACGTTGGCTCCATTGAGTCATGGTGACAAAAAAGTTATAAAACACATTCGATTCGATGTCGTTTCATATCTAGTGTGAGCAGAAGTAGGAGCACACATGTAGCTTAGTGAGTTATGTTGGATAATCAGGAAGTTTTCACAACGCTTATGGGCAAAAATCGGCATTTAATCACTTGGTAACTCAGCTATTCATTTCAAATTCAATGCGATATTGGTAAATTTTGAATCTTGGGAACCTGAGATTTTATACTCAATTGCTTTCAAAGAGAGAAAAAAGCGATGTATCGGCAAAATGAGTATGATAGGCATCGAATGTCGCTTAAGTCGCAGTCAAGGACTGTGTATTCATCTTCGCGCGAACCTTGACCATACAGTAATCCTGTTAGCGCACCGCTCACTCGCCAATGATACGCAGCTTATGGGCGACTTAAACGCACACACACATACACATCGGGCCCCTTGACAGAGCAAATGAACGAACGACAACGAGATCCGGTGGGTGAAGCGACAAGCAACCGCTATGCGCTCCCTAACAATCACCTGGTATACTCTGCGGCGCCGTAGATCGCAGAGAGGATTATAATGTTTTTCACCTGTTTTCCTCTCAAAATCGATCAATTACATTAGCAAATGCGGTAGTATTGTGCTTTTCGCGAAAGGGAAACGTTATGTGCCTATGAATACTTAGATGAGCATATAGGGGTAAATAATGCCGAAATAAGAGGGCGTTTGGAAACGTTTCGATTTGCATAGCTTACCACTTCTTTGTTTGTGTCCATTCATCGGACTAACGAACGCAACTAGCACACGAATACTGGCCGAGCGGAAAGCGTTCTGTCAGCGGGCGTATTGATGACAGTCCCATGTCCTGGATTCCAAATCATTACCGAGTGGATCAGCTTCCACTTTTGATAGCTTTCGCTTCCTATTTGATAGCTTTAATGATTTTGTATTGATCGGACTAAACTTCATCACATTGACACACTTCAGCGACATTTCCAATTCTTGGCCTAACTCGAAAGATTAATAAGACGCTCCATATCAGGTGGCCCAATAGCAGTGTCGTGCTGAAATCAGTCTTTATTTCGTAATCAGTGGTTAGTGAAGACTCGGTGAACTGGTTTTCTAAATTATCACACTAGTCTTCGGTTTGCAAAAGAGAAAAAGGACTTGAAAGAATTTTAAAAGGGATATAATTATCGTGTTTATTGCGCTGTGAGGCACGTACCGAACTTTATGGGATAGAAAGTATGAAGATCTGAGCTATTCAATGTGTGAATCATTTTCTTCAAAGTTCGGATTTCTAGGCACTCCTTTCAATGGAGAGGAATTCAAGAGAGGTATAATGCTGGGAAAACGCGCTATCATAGTGTTTTCACAGGCCATTCCAGATTGAAAATATTTACTAACTATAGCGTAAATAAAATAATTTTCAACACTTTGTGTTTGGCTATCCTCGCTGCCAAATTCGCGGACATTCAAGAGCCATTGCACTACCCCAAGATGGAAAAGCATTGTTTTCCGCTTATGTTTATAATAGTATACGACTCATTCAGCCAGACAAAGGGCCCATTCTTTGTATTTTTTCATGACTGTCGAACGCTAGAAGTTGAAGAATTTCTTCGCGGCCTTGCCTGTTCAATGAAGTGACGATGCTGTGAATCTGAGTGTGGCTGGTGTCAAGGTGGTCTCCAATTACGACGTGCGGTTGGCTGTTGTCGATTAGCTGCACTTAATCGTCAGCTATTGTGTATATGTCCCAGGTTACAGTATGCAAGAGTCTAATTGTGTCCGAAACATGCTAAACGCCAGGGGGGTTATTGAGACACGCACACTTAGCCTCTATTCACACTGGCGACCACCTGCAGTGTGAAACACCTTCATCGATACAGAGACCAACTTTGTGCGAGATTATGAGTAGTTGCTTCCTGGTAATAGGCAGCCCAGAGAGAATTTCGCCTTTACCGAATTTCTGGACGTAAGGGAAACGAAATCTTCGGAGAGAATACAAGGACTCCGAGACATGCATTTCTACTAAAAAACGACCAGAATGCGAAAATTGTCTAGCATCTCGACTGAAATGAATTTTGATGTTAAATGAAAATCGGAAGTTTGTTGCATTTTTGCCACCAAAAAGTAGTGCCAGCATAATCAAACCATGCACTATTTGACCTCCTTTTGGGTGAGCTTCACCCACATTCTTCTCTGATGCTCGATTGATCATCGCGTTATTTCCATCATCCGTGAATAACAAAATGAACCTACTCCAAAAATAACGAAATAACAGTAAGTATGAATAACACAAAAGTACATTCGTTGAACATTCCATCTGACGTCAAACTCAAAAGAGAATAATTGCGCTTGAAAAACACATTTGGCAAGTTTTGGAAGCCTGAAGACTAGCAATCTTATGTCTGTCGTTTTATTTGATATGGGGGAAACATTTCTTGATTACCAAATGGATCACCCAAAGACTAACAGGGCTCTGCAACATCATAACAACTCATTGGACCAAACTTTAATGATAGACATAGACCCTGATAGCCTTGTAGAATACTCGACTTCCATAAAAACTTCTGCAAATGTTTGTCACTGTATTCAATATTCAGTTGATGCAACATATTGAGTTCACCAATTATGCGACCACTAGACATCGTTCGCCACACAACACACACTCGTTTCAATACCAGTCTATCCTTCTTCCTTCCAATCATTCTTTCCAATTCGAGTATCTTTTCCAGTGAACATTGTTAGGTATAATAGTTTTTCTTTTCTATCACGATAGAAATCTGATGCTCTAAAGCCGGAATAGTTCGTTGTTTTTGTTTTTCTCTCTCGTTGTCTATATCTCTGACAACGGAGTGCTTAAACGTGGGTGTTTCGGCAGGGACGTGCTGTTATGTAAATGTGTAAATGAACTTCCCGACTATCATGACTCTATACAAAAATTTTCAAATCTTGAAGCCTTTCTTTCATTTTCTATTTCAAAAATCTAAACGCTAAATAGCTAAGTATTTTTAGAAAAATCTGTCAGAAAATAAGCCGCCGCAGACGATAGTCATCGAGAAATTATTGAGTCTTGTTGGGAAACTTCCTCTATCTTGTTTGTGTTGAAATTTGATCAAATGAACAAAAGGTGTATGAGCGGTGTTCAAAGTACAACTCGAAGCATTGTGTACTCAAGAACTAGAAAAAATTTTTTCAGGTGTATAAAGACTAATTAGGTTGTGATCATCCTGAAATCGCTTCGAAGTTCTGAAGAACCATATACGCTAAAAATGGGGCTGTGTCCGGGTGAGAGGGGGAAATGGATGTCGCTGTTACAAACCACGGAACTTTTATATTGTTGGATGAGTTCTGCCTTTCAAATCGCGTTCGGTCTCTGCATATCACCAAGGATCGATAATCACCTTTATACGAATCCGTCCTGAAAGAATAAAATCTGCAGAACAACATAAGCACCAAACAGAGCAATCCCGCCGAGATTTATTTGATGTAGAGCAAAAATGTTAATTTTTTTTCTTATTGGTTGTGTAGTGACAAAAGCTACTGGGCTGGCAAGAAATTTTCCCGACTTCTTCTTTTTTGTGCAGGTTTATCCTTTTTTTGTTTTAATAATTCAAAGCAATGAATGAATAGTCAAAGTATTTCCCTTCAACTCCAATCATTTCCTCCTACTTTTCCGGCAATTTCGTGATTTCTTGACGGTAAAAACTCGGTGTCTTTCGCGTATTTTCATCCAAACTATGCCAAACTCGTGCACAATATTCTCAACTGTAGTATCAATACAATCAAAATCGTCGGTCAACATGCGAATCGTCAAAGACGGAGGCGTCTCAGTTGCCTTCAAAACAGCTTGCCGGTCAATTTTTTGTGGACGGTCGGCTCCTTGCCTGTGCTTCAAATTTCCATTTTCAGCTTTGAATTCATTGAAACAATCAAAAACTGCGGTTCGCCCAACTGTTTCGTCACCCCAGGCCTCGTTGATCCGGGGAAAAGTCTCAGGAGCACTTGAACGCAAACGATACTCGTGTAGCATTAACAATCGTTTCTGTTCTCGAGACAGTGTAAGTGCGCACGAAGTTGCGCTAAACGACAGCAAAGGCAAAAGCCTAAATGAATGGAAAGTAATCAACAAAAACCAAAAAGTTCGGAAAATTTCTTGCCAGCCCAATTAAAGATTTTCAGAGAAACCACCAGAGGCGAACAAAAAAAAACCAGTGGCGCTACATTACTCAAAAACCACGAGTTCTGTTACAAGATCATATAAAATTTTACACTTCTTCCACACTGTCTCCTAAGGAAACTGTGAAGCCAAGATTTGACCTTAGGCAAGTGGTAGATATATGAAGCGGTGGTATATGATGTTTGTCAGGGGAAAACACAAAAAGGAGAAAATATTTCGAAATGCAGCGAAGATTAATCTTCTTAGTTCTGAAAAAATTGAAAAAGAAAAGAAATAATGTTCTTGACTCACTAGCGATATTTTCTCAATCGATTGATCATTTTGACTTTGATTTTTGAACACGAAGATGCTGTTGAGCATTAATGGAGTGTTGTGAATGTATTCGCAGTTTGAAATTCTATCCGCTTCCAGAACCCGAACTCAGATATTCATCAATAATGCTTACTCTAATAGAATTGACACAGAAGGCATAACAAAATCAGGGATCATTTTACAGGAATAAAGATAAATGTAATAGAAAAAATATAACTGGAAAACCAAGCCAGACCGTTGACGGCAGCGCTGACACTTAGATGCGTTTTAGCGTAGAAATAGTGATGTCAAAACGGACGTCGGTAGTGCAACGGTTATAGCACGCACCGCCGGAGAGGGTGAAATGTGGGTTTGAGTCTCAGCTGATGTCAAAAGTTTTGAACATTGCCCTACATCACTGGATATACAATTACATCATATCGTCTTTTAAGGAGGCCAATTAAAAAAAAAGAAAACTGAAATCTTCTGCGAAAAAATTTTTCAACCTTGTTCGTCGATTGAGATTTTCTGGAAAAGGATTAATTGGGTAAGCTGCCGAGCACTCATAGGCACTCCCACTGGCTCTTCTCTGCTCATCCACTTTCATTCGTTGAAGAGGTGCTGAACATGCGCACGCTTGTTATTAATAATGGCGACATTAGCCCAAGTCCTTCTGTCGCTCTGATTTATGCTAATTTCATTCGTTTTTAATGCATCGTTTACACGCCAGATAATTGATAATTGAGGGTTGGCCACATCGAAGTGGTGGCGAACAAGTGGTGCAGACGGCTAGTAAAGGGTTCCTTAATAGTTCTACTCACTCTCCAGGAGTTTGAGTGAGATGCTTGTGCAGTAGTATTGTAAGGAGATAATTCTGTAGTTGGGATTTTCTGATATGTTTTGAAGTTATGATTTTCAAGAAGATAAAAACTCCACAGTAGCCCAACTGGTGCGATGCTAAAGTTAAAAGTGACTTGAGGTAAACGATCAGTTCTGAAAACATTAGAAAAATTTTTAGTGAAAAGCAGACCTATATAAACCCATTAATCGTGTATTCAGATCTATGATTTTGGAGATCGACCTCACTGGCGGTGTCCCTGGAGGATCGCCCTTCATTCAATGAGAATTCCGTCAAGTGCACTGTAGTTATCGGACGTATCAAACGGTTACCTTGGTACGAGCGATGTGTCGAGTGCTCGCCTCACTCTCCTTTCGCCTTTTTCCTACCGACAGATCACTTGATTTAGCCACTACGCAATATGTTACTTGTGAGATGTACCGAAGAGTTATAGGGGTCATGAGGTATGATCCAAAGGTGGGAATCCTGCTTGATATCCAGCAGTAGATATACGATGGAAATATTGATATTAACAAGTCCCAAGGTAGAACTGCCAAGAGCAGTGGCTGAATCAAGACCATCCTTCGAACTTTTTACGAGGTCAAAACATCTGTCTTGTACACCTTACATGCCTAGCATACGTCTTCATAAAATCAGTATTTAATTTTCTATAGTTCAAAAGAGGTCATATAGGTATCCCAGGCGAAAACCAATGTTTATTTGCATAGATGGCTCCTCTTTCTACACCATTGAGAGACTAGGAACACTTGCAAATTTCTTAGACAGGTCGCCAATCGGAGAGATATGATCGTCGTCGCACAGAAATCCGCTATTATCCAAACATGCGTCTCCGCTAATTCCACTGTTTGCAGTCCACTTCGTATCACCGTTGTGCACCTGTTGCTGTGCACTGACGCAATGCATTATTAGTACAACATTACAATTAGTGGCCTCATATCGGCTGGTCGTCTCGTGGCCCGTATAATGTTTCCATCCGATTGCTATAGCCACCCAAATGATTCTAAAAATTCTGCATTATCCGCAAAGGAACAGGGACAGGTACAAAACAACTGTTGTGGTTTTGAGCTAGATGGCGCAGTTGTGGCTACCAGTGCTCGTTATTAAAAACACCAATTCTACACATGAAAATCGAGCCAACGCTGCACATGCTCGAGGCAAAGTAATGTGGATGCACTTAGCTGACAAATTCCAGTGGTGTAACCAAGAGTACTTCAACAAGGAAAAGTAAACAGTGCTCTCTAGCGTGTGGGACAGTTGTTTCGGCGATATTCGCGACCGACCCTTCATCATCACGGTTACCGCTTCACGTAATTGGGTGCGAATACACTGTACGAAGAGTCCTTGACAATGGCCACTCACATACACATCTTAAAAGCGTAAGTCACCTAACTTACATCAAGAAATTATTGCTGACAATAATGAAACCGGCACGCATATACATAAGTACATAGAAGAGATAGAATTGTCTTGCAAAGTTATGTCTGTAGAACAAAATGAGTAAAGCTAGAGAACTGACAGAAGAAAATAGTTTAACTGCTTTAATAGTGATCTTTGATAACTGAACGCTCGCAATCATTTTCGCGGAACCAAAAAATGGACTAGCCCAGAATAGTGATTGCTGGTCAAAATATCCCCATCTGAATGTCAACTCTTTCTTCTTCGCAATGTGATTTTGGATAAATGTCATCAAAAGCGGACTAAGATTCTGCTATAACAATGTCCAAAAAAAATGGTCGTGATTTTTTATTATACCAATCGCAATTTTTTTATGGTTTGAAGAGCCCACAGTTAAATATCTTAATAACAAAATCATGCAAATGAAACATAATGCAGAGGACTGAGCGAGTCAAATGCGTAAAATGCTGAAAACTGTAGATGTTTGCGCAAAAATACTATTCATACTTCACCATGCTTCTCCTTTCCTCCTCTTTCATCATTGTCTGAGAAGTAACACTATAGAATGCAATCACGCCGTTAGCTAGTATACGGTAGGTTGAGCAGCGAGAAGCCGAGAATAAATTTAATTGATACCGTAATCAATCGCAGACTTGCTTCTCATGCAAAGAGGCTTCTTCCGTGCACCATTTAAATGGAGGCACTGCGTACGAATTTATGATGAGCGATTATTCTAATGCGCTGAGAGCCCAGCTACTTGAATGCCGTAGGGCATGAAACCGAGGATAAGGTCGAGATGCTCGTTCAGAAACTCCAAATCTTGCTCTAGAATTGCATATGAGTATTCGAGGAGAAGAGTGTATAGGGCGCGATAGAAAAAAATGGAAAAGAAAACCTTGCCAATTCTTCGTAGTGTACAAAGCAGCATTATAATTCTTTGACAGAATCATGATAGAATTTTTTACTTCAATAAATTGAAACGGAGTAGAGAGAGCGCGTGATTAGAGGTACAGTAGGATACATTTTTGCTGCCGCTTCATCTAAGTTCGCGCCAGCAAAGTCTATACTAATAGCGAAGAGTCGGAAAAATCATGTCAGACTTCTCCAGTAAATGTCAATGACCTGCGGCGAACACTTTGCAGAGTTCTGTTGGAGCTATCATGGAATAGTAAGGAAATCCAGCAGGCGTTCAGCGGTATTTATGGTAAACATAAAAAAGATCAACGAGCGACAGAATCCATGAGCAAATTATAATTTGATGGTCGGTTATAGCGAACCGAATAAAAAAGTGATGAATCGCTCAAGACATGTGTGGGTAGTCATTTAAAAATAGGATTACCAAGTACCTAAGATTATTCTAACACCACTAAATGCAAAATGGGAAGTAATGAGTTTACCTCCAGTTCTAAAAAAGTGAGTAGTTGGAAATTACGTGGAAAAGCCTTATCGTGATGAACAGCGGTTGTTTCTTAACATGACTATTGTTTAAAATGCATTTTGCATGCATCTGCTCAGAAAATTAAGAGGAACAAAGTTATGGAAGAAAAGTTATGCAAAACGGAAACCTTTGATCTCGGTACCTTCCCGCAAGTGTCTGTTTCTTTCTCATATTTTGTAACTGCCAAAAATTCACTTTTGAAATAGTTGAGATATCTCAAAATCGACAGCGAACACAAACCGTTTGAAATTCGAAACTTGTAAAATTATGAGACGTATTACGTCTTTGTAAAATTAAAGCCCGAATTGCAATTTTATTTCTCTTGGATATTTTTCATCACTAGCTTTCTTTGAATGCTTTACTATTACATATGATTGCGAAGTTTGCCTCAAGCGCTTCCAATCTGCTCAATTATAATATAAATTATATTGCTGATGGATTTCAAAAGGATTTTAGAGTTAGAGCGGATATTCCTACAAATACAATTCTACGAATTCAGAAACAATGCAGCTCAATGCACTCTGAGTAGTGTAAAACCAGCTAGGTGTTAAAGAACGTGCAACCTTGGTTTAAAAAATTCGTCGTAGCGACTTTGATATTCACAAAGACGGAGATCGCAAGGGTTTTCCGCTATTCGTGACAATGAATCGAATGCTACCTTAGGAGCAAATACAAGCCCAACTGCGCAAAAACTTGAACAGGAACTCCATGAAAGCACTTCAAATTTCCTAGAACATTTTGAAAATATGCGTGTAGTACGAATTGAATAACACTTCAAAAATTGGATCATTTCCCTTATCCGGTCACAGTTTTACCGATAGGGCGGGTTATTTTCCTGTGAACGTCTGAGTAGTCTTTCATTATCTCAAATCTCAAAAAATTCAAATGTGTACTTTATTTCTAATACGCCCTTTTTATTGAGTTGTGACAGCGAAAATCGAATTGCGTTCCTCATTCAAGCATTGCTTGCTGAATTTAGCATTTCCTATACAATTTCGGTAACCATTCAATAGTTTAAATTTCGTAGATTCCAATGATGTGCTTGATTTTTGAATAAGATTCTTATTGCGCTGTAACAATCAAAAGAAGGTTGGCTTCGCAAATTTGGCACGGGAAAAAGCGTGGTGGCATAGCGGTAATGTTGCAAAATCTTTGTCCACATGATCACAAAACACGGTGGTTTTGAGTCAGTGTCGCGCTGCGCCAAACTAAACTTTTTTTTTTGGCTGTTACAGCGCTATGTAAAGTCTTCTTTAAACAAATACATCATTGGAATCGACGCGTTGAACTATCGCATGATTGCTGGAAGTCTAGAGGAAAAGCATTGTCCAGCAAGAAATGTTCGAATGAGGGACGCAATTTCATTTTTACTGTTATAGCGCAATATCACTGTCTTTTTGAAAACAAAATACGCCTTTGAAATCTTTGAGATTCGAGCTATTAGACTGTTCTTAACTTGAAATAATCAAAAGATACGGTTTCTTCAAAGGATTGGAAAAAGGTGCTGATCAAGAAAGTGATATAAATTCGCAAAACCCAATCTTCCTTTTGGTGTTACAACCAATAAAAAGTCCCTTTTGAAAACCAAGCACATCACTGGAATTCATAAGATTTAAGCTATCGAATTATTATCAAAAATCAAGGGAAAGCCTTGCAAAGCGAGAAGTGTTTGAATGCGGAACACAATTTTATTTGTGCTA